CTTTCATTTTGTTTTGCTTTGTTTTAATGCACAGCATTTCTGAGGACTGGCATTTTGACTAATGTACTTTAGTAAGCACTGAAGAAGGAAACATTATAGATAAGATGGTCTCCAAATGACATACCAGTCAGACTATGACCTGTTTATTGTACATACTTTTCAAAAGTATCATTGTTTCTGCAATGGCAGTATTATGAACGCACAGCTTTGTTAACTCAGCAAGCAAAAGTAGTAGTTAATAGTTTAGCACCTCTATGGCTGAATGATTCCATTCTAAGTAGGGATCGCAGCCCAATTCTGGATTCAGTAGCTAAATTCTATCACAGCAGGTGGAGTGATTGCTTTAGCAAGCTATATTCATTTATTCCCTTAATATATGTATGCTATAAAATGTCTCTTTGGGGACCAAGAAGCACAAAGCTGAGACTGTTGCCTCAAAGTGACTGTTTGCAAATTGGAAGCTTAATGCAATCCACAGGTGGGAAAAGTATAAGGCTCCGGCTTTCCTGCTCTGTCTGTTGTGGTGCAAGAAGCAGCTGAGGCCACAGCTGGAGTTCTTGTTACTTTCACTTGAGAAGTCTTTTCCTCTCTACTCTATTGGGATGATGCTTTTCATAAAAGGACACAGTCAATTTGTTTTCCATGAAAGAGCTATAATAATCTATTGCCAAAAATCCACCTGAGTAGTACCAGTCTACTGTTGCTACTCCTGACTTCAGCCCCACACTGAAACAGTCACTGAAGCCTGGCCTTTGTTCTTACTGGTTTCTTTCCTTGATCTCCATTTTTTCTCATTCTAATGATATTAATTCTAGTTTACTCTGTTCAATCACGTTAGGTAGACTTTAAAAGTATACATTGAATCTCTGCAATTTTCCTATGATAAATTCAGTCATCAAATTTCATTACTGTAATATAAATGTACTTTGAATGTAGCTCCTTAATTGAGTTTTCTTATTCTTTCTCCAAATAAAAGGAATTTGCTATATTTTAAAACCTTTATTACAAGCATTTTTCTAATGGAGTAAGAGTTTATAGACCATTTGTAAAAATGAAGCTTTCACAGGGCAGTCCCTCTTTCAGATCATTTTTTAAGTTGATGTGTAATAATTGTACATATTTTGGAGTACATTTGATACATGCATATAATATATAGTGATCAAATCACAGTAAACATTTATGATTTGTGTTGGGAACATTTTAAATCTTCTCTTCTAGCTATTTTGAAACATACAATAAAGTATTATTAATAATATAGCCATCCTACTGTGCTATTAAAAACAAATTTTATTCTCATTAACCAGTTACTCTCACTCCACTTCCCTGCCATCCCTCTCAGCCTTTGGTAACCACTTCTCTATTCTCTGCCTCTATGAGATCCACTTTTTTTAGCTCAGACATATGAATGAGAACATTGTCTTTGTGTGTCTGCCTTATTTCACTTAAAATAATGACCTCTAGCTTTTTTCATATTTCTGCAAATTATAGGATTTTATTCCTTTACTAGGGCTGAATAATATGCTATTTTGTATATGTAGCACACTTTCTTGATCCATTTTTCTGCTGATGGACACTCAAGTTGATTCCATATCTTGGCTATTGTGAATAGTGCTACAATAAACATGGAAGTGCAGATATCTCTTAGATATACGAATTTCTTTTCTTTTGGGCATATACCTAGCGGTGGGATTGATGGATCATGTAGTACTATTTTTAAGTTTTCAAGGAACCTTCATACTGTTTTATATTGTGTCCACACTATTATACATTTCCAACAACAGTAGGTTCCCCTTTCTCCACATCCTTGTCAGCATTTTTTTTCTGGTCTTTTTGATAATAACCATTCTAACTAAGATGGGAGGATAGCCCGTTGTGGTTTGATTTGCATTACTTTGATGATGAGTGATGTTGAGCAATTTTTTTTACATAAGCTGTTGGCCACTTGTGTGTCTTCTTTTGAGAAATGTCTGTTGAGTCACTTGCCTGTTTTTAATGGGTTTTTTTATTTTTACTATTAGATTAAGCCCCTTATATATTCTGATTATTAATTTCTTTCATCTGGATATTTTGCAACTATTTTCTCCTATTGTCTAGGTTGTCTCTCCATTCTGTTGATTATTTCCTTTGCTAGACAGAAACTGTTTAGCTTGATATAATCCCATTTGTCTGCTTTTGCTTTCATTGCCTGTGCTTTTGAGGTCTTACCCAAAAAAATCTTTGTCCAGGCTAATGTCCTGAAGTGTTTCCACAGGGTTTTTTCCTAGTAGTTTTGTAGTTTTCTTCTAGGAGTTTTCATGTTTTCCTCTACTAGTTTCATAGCTTCAGGCTAGACCATTTTTAAAGCAAATCTGATTGGATTGAGAATTGATCCCTGGGAGATCCTAGATTAGATGACTCTTTAAGTTTTAATTTTTATATATATTATAGTAACAAATAAATGGAAACATTCTATGTATAACAGTAGTTGACTAGTTAAATAAATACTGTCTGTCCATTAGCATGATGATATATAAAAATAAATCATCAATGAGTTGTAAAAATGTTAGTGACATGTTAAATGAACAAATTAGCTTGAAAACAGTAGGTAAATAATGAACTTAGTTTTGTTAACTATAAATTTGCACAACCATGTATAGAAGGAAGATTGGAAAGGAAAGCCATGTGGATGCATACATGAGAAAACAGTTGAAAGCATAAAAGTGAACATGAGGAGAATGGAGTATAATTTTATCCTCTCCCTATGTGGCTTTGGGAAGTTAGATTGTCTTTTGCAGCCTTAGTCTTTTCATATGTAAAAGAATAATAATGCCTAACTCAATACAATGATTGGTTGGATTAATTAATAATGTGTCTAAAGTTCTTAGCATGAAGTAAGTGTTCAGGAAATGGCAGGTATTATTGATAACTTTTATTTACCAAAATGTTAACAGTAGCTATTCCTAGATGCTGAGGTTCTTGCTATTTAATATTTTTAAGTGATTTTACCAAAATATATAACATATAATGTAAATAAATACAGTGTGTAATCACTTAAAGTATATATGAATATATATACACATATATGTATGTATTTACATGGTATATTGCTCTATATTTTGCTTCCTTTCCCTAAACAAGTTTCATTTCTAATAAACATTTTTTCAAAGACTTAACCCTTTTTTGAAGTTTTATGCCTAATTTTTCCGAAGATCGTCTTATCTTCCCTGGAAGTTTTTATGCTGGACAGACTCGACTCCTCTACCTGTATCTTCCTTATTTTAAACTCATTTTGTAAACCTAAGTCTGCATAACTTTCTCTTCATATCAACTAGCCATTTCACTAGCTTTTTCTTGCTACAGTTTATTTTTTGTTATATGAGTGAGCAGAGAACATGCCAAGAATCGCTCTTCATGTGGCTTTTAATAATAGCAATAGGTACTGTGGTTACAGTACTACACATCGCTACAACACTGCAAGCCCAGTCGCTCAGCGTTGCAGAGGCACACAGGGCAGGCGTCTAGCACCGGATGAGGGACGTGGCTGGCCCATGTCGTGTGCTGAATGGTGTGAGAAGTCTGCCAATGGCTATTAAGCTCTGATGTCTTGCAGCAGAGTGAGCTTAGCCAGAACACATTTCAGCTGCGGTGATGTGTGCTGGCCAGCTATGCTGGCAACTCTATATACTGCCTCTCATTCCCATATTCATTACTCCTGGATGCCTCCCAAAATCACAGATGGTGTTTGTATTACCTTCCCAGACAGATCGCTCCTCCTCTTCCAGTTGAAGCTTTTTCTCCTCTCCACTTCACCTTCTGGCCTTTGCTGCCTGCTTTATTATTAAATATATTTGTTTCAGGATCTCAGTTATAACAAAAATGCCCTATATATGTGAAAATTATCTAAATGTCAATTGATGCTGCTCTTCTCAAAATGCAGACCTGAGTAAAAATATGTGTTTCATTCTTTACAAAGAACTTTCACAAGCATTATTTCATACGTATGTATTTATATTTTCTTCTAAAACCATGGCCTAGTATCTCGTGTCACTTGAATAAAATAAGGAAGGCAAATAGTATTACTCCTTCAGCACAGCAGAACAGGTGACTGTGATCAGCCCGCAGTAGGATGCAGCTACTAAGTTTCAGACTTAGACTTGAATTCAAATCCTCTAAGTTCAGTGTTGCTTCTCTATTAAAAAGTGTACTGGATCCACCTTTCTTGGAATAATACAGAAGACAAAATCAACCAAGTATACAAAATAATGAAGAGGTCCTGGATTTCAGGATTGCCTTAACATTTTCTCTACTTTCCTTCTAGCTTTGACTTATATCAAAAGTAAAATGTCTTTTTTCTTTTTTTTTTGAGATGGAGTTTCATTCTTATTGCCCAGACTGGAGTGCAATGGCACGATCTCAGCTTACTGCAACTTCCGCCTCCTGGGTTCAAGTGACTCTCCTGCCTCAGCCTCCAAAGTAGCTGATTACAGGCATGCACCACCAAGGCTGGCTAATTTTTGTATTTTTAATAGAGACGGAGTTTCTCCATGTTGGTCAGGCGGGTCTCGAACTCCTGACCTCAGGTGATCCGCCTGCCTCAGCCTCCCAAAGTGCTGAAATTAAAGGGGTGAGCCACTGCACCTGGTTTTTAAAAGTAAAATACCTTCTAGCTGCTAGTATGTATCTAGTTTTTAACTGCTTCAGCGATATTGCAAACAACTGAATTTCTACTGGACATGTGGTTTATTTAATAACATAATCTATTAGCATGTTTTAAGAGTGAGAATTGGTTCAAGAGTTCTTTATAATATTTCTGAAACTCCGGGGAACACTGGAATCTTCCTGAATGTGTAGGTTTTATAAGACACTGAGGTCAATAAAAAGCTTTCTGGTACCTTCTAGGGAGAAATTGAGCATCTTTAATTTTAAATCATTAAGAAGACTGAAACATCCTATAAGGCAGTTTAACCACAGAAATACAAGAACTAAATTTTCTTCCTTTCCTTTTTTTTTTTCCTTTATAGCTTAAAGGGAGCTGATGCTGGCAATGGGATCAGAGTGTTTGTACCTGACATCGGGATGTTCATTGCTAGTCTGACCATCTGGCTTCTCTGTAGAAACATTGTTCAGAAACCCGTGACAGACGAAGCAGCACAGTGTAACCTGGAGTTTGAAAATGAAGAATTGGTAAATCCAACTCCATATCTCTTCCTTCTTTGATTTCTGAGGACCTTGACCCTTAATAAGTCGCAGAACTATGATAATAACAACTGAGCATGCAGAGCACGTTATGATTCACAGTGCTTGACTTAACGTTAATAGTCACTTTGCATGACACTCTCATGCAGTGCCAGTGGGCAGACACTCTGGTGCACACCTTAGCAATAAGGAGACAGGCTCAGGGGTGTTCATAGGTTAAGGGCCAGGCTTTGACCCACCACTCCAAACTGTCACCTGGTATTATCTCAGAGACTGACTCTGTAAGGTTATGCATAGTGTCATGGTCCAACTGGTCTGGATACTTTAGTTATTGCAGAATATTTAAAGAAGTAACATCTGGTTGTTTTAGGGGAAAAAACAAATTCCTCCTTGCAGGGCAGCTTTCCAGTCTGTGCATCCTGTCCTGCTCAGTAGAGTGGTGTTAACTTGGCATGCTTTGATAAAGTTGTTTTGAAGCACTCCAAGGGGGAAAAACAGACATATTTGGAAAAGTGTGAGAATTTTAAAAAGGTAAAAATAATGAATGAAATGTATGTTTGCTAGCTGGTGGAAAGGTTTCAGGAGTAACCGCTGAATTGGAAGCTTGTCATATTTTCATCCTTGAGTATGGGAGATGTCAGACAGTTCTCACACTGCCCCCTGACCTGCCTCAGGACACTGTTATGTTCTAATAACTGTACTTTGTTAGGTGAGATTAGGTGACATCAATTTAAAAAGTAATTGATTTATTAGTGGAAAGGTAACATTTACAAAGGAAAAAGTGACTAAAAATATTTGATTTGGACATTTGATGCAAAAGACTTGCAAGTACTAAAGGTTTTAAGTCATAAGCTTTGGCAAGATATTAAGCTTGTAAAACTGAAGTTAATTGAAGTTACTTATATTGAGAATGTTAACCACTAAGGTATTGAAAGAGGAAAATTCTCACAGAAAATGATTTATGTGGTTCACAAAAAAGCAGACAATTGCCTTGTATGATTATTTAAAAAACAATAACGACAGGGTTTAATTCAATAAATCTTTGCAAACTAGAAATGATATTGTCTAGCAGAGCATGGTGGCTCACCCCTCTGATCCAAGCACCTTGGGAGGCCAAGGTGGACAGATCACCTGAGGTCAGGAGTTTGAGACTAGCCTGGCCAACATGGTGAAACCCTGCCTCTACTAAAAATACAAAAATTAGCTGAGCGTGATGGCATGTGCCTGTAATTCTAGCCACTTAGGAGCCTGAGGCAGGAGAATTGCTTGGACTGAGGACGTGGAGGTTGCAGTGAGCCAAGATTGCACCACTGCACCCCAGCCTGAGTGATAGAGTGAGACTCCATCTCCAAAAATAGAAATGATATTGTTTAAAATTCTTATGGGAAAAAGGTAGGTAATCACCTTGCATATCAATGTTCTGCTACTTTTAAGGCAAATGTTAAAATGATGCTTGGTGTAAAAGTAATTACAGTAAGATCAAAGTCGCCACTGCCTACATCTTACATTCAAGACTTCACACCAGAAGGCATGCATTAGTATTCTCAAAATGGAGGAGTGTTTTCTCTTCTTGTTGACATTACAATTTTAAGATGGAGGATTTAAATTTTGACAGTTTTTTACATTTATAGTTTGAAAATGACTTTACTTAAATAATCCTTACCAAAATTTGCCTAAGTTTGGTGAAAGTAAACCAGTAACTCCGGTTCTTCAGGCTGGGGATTTTTTATTTTTATTATTTATAAAGGCCAGATTTTGTTGTTGTTGCTGTTGTTTACTTTAAGTCCTGGGATACATGTGCAGAAAGTGCAGGTTTGTTACGTAGTTACACATGTGCCATGGTGGTTTGCTGCACCCGTCAATCCTCTATCCAGATTTCAAGCTTTTGTTTCTGACCCAGGCTTTATAAACTATAAATTATCTATCCTCGTAGATAATAACTATACAAGTAGGAGAAAGGATAATTATTGAAAATTGAGTGGACTTAACAAGTCAGACATGGAGGCTGCCTAGTGTGTGATGCTGAGACAATTGTTTATTCTCTTTCTTCTTCTGCAAAAGAGAGTTACTAATATTATATCACATAGTTATTGTGAATGCTAAATAAAATATCTAGTAAAAAGCACCTGCCACAGTGCCTGCTCATTTTGCTTGCTTAAATAAATTTCTATTTGCTCTGCTCATTTTGTCCTTCTCCAATCTGAGAAGTAGTAGAGCAATGCCAAATTCCAGTGTTCCTCTTAGAATCATAGAAACTTAAATAGGAAGAAATTTCCTCTTAGAATTATGGAAACTTAAATGGGAAGATATTTTGAGGCCAACTCACTCAGTAAAAGAATCTCTTCTGTGCCATTCATAACAGATAACCATGATGAGTTACAAAGCTTCTTATAAAAAGAACTTATAAGACCAAGGACAAATGCTCTTTGCCATAGGAATAAGAAAGCCTACATTGATCAACAGAAAGCCATGACTGTGAGGCCATGATTAGGTGCTATATAGCTGATGAAGAACATAACACAATGCAGTCACATGGGTTAATTCTAAAATCATATTTCCTTTCTGATTTTGATTTTCAGAGATAGATTTATGACTTCACTTCCATTTGAAATTTGCTTGAATATGTAAGCCTTATGTATTATTAATCACATTATTTAAAGATAAGAGGGACAGATACTCTAAACATTATTTATTAGGAACATTGAAAATACTAAATGTCCTAATTATGGCATGGTTTTCCTTCTCAGTTAAATTTGTTTGGGGCTACTTTAGATTCTGATTTTTACTCTCTTGGTACATTCCAGCCCATCAGGCAGCCCAGGAGGAGCAGGGGGGTGGGTGAATCTTCTGAGATTAATTCACAAGGAAAAATTGCTTCCATGTGACAATCTGGACTTGAATCTGAAAGGAATATAAGCACCTGGCCAAAATAAGCAGGGGATTTATTTTATTTTTGACACCACAACATACTTCCTGCTGCTTATAAATCTTGGCGTTTGCACTCTAGAATGTTTGGGTTTTGGGGATACTGGAAGAACAGTGTTTGCTGGCATTATTTCTTCTTTCATTTATCTCAATGGAGAAATGGCAAGATTAATCCACTGGTGCCTGGGATAATTTCTTTTCAAATGCAGTGTTGTTTTAAAGCAGCAACTAATCCCGGGGAAAGACTCTCAAGTCTTCTGTAATAGTCACTGATTTGATAAGGCTCAAGTTTGGTGTTTTAAAGGTGTTCATAAATCCAAGGATTCCCCATAAAATCCCCAGGGGAAGTGGAGATGGCAGTGCAGTGGGAGCCTGTGCCTTGCTCCTGTATGTTACCAAGAGCCAGCTTCAGAAAAGAAACACTTCTCCTCAAATGTCATCAAATGTTCTTTCTCGTCTGACACGTCTGTGGTCTTGTTCACTTTAATTCAGAAGCAGATCTACAAATCAATCATAACTGGGAGAAAGATTCCTGATCTGAAATCTTAAATAAAAAGAGTTTTATTATGAAGATTAAATTGAGTAGAAAATGGTCACTTACATAATAAAACAATGTATAATTTCACAAAACTGGTATTATCTTGTATAATCCTATGTTTACAACTCCTTCTAGCTATTACATGGGATTTGTGCCCTTATTTTTAAAACAGTATTTTAATGTATTATTAAACCAAATTTCTAATAAATTAAATAGTTATTCAAATATGAATTGCAGTCATGACAGCTTGTGTAAAGAGGCATCTTCTTAACAGTCTGACAAATCAAATATGAAGGATAAAAAGAATATTCCATTATAAGTTAACCCCATCTGCTAAAAATTCAGGGATGCAAAATTAAGTTCTGCTAATGTTATTTGGAAATTTATTCTGAACCTCAAAGATTGCACCTTGCTTTCTAATTCCTAGTGTCCATTAGCCTATCACAGCATCTGAACATTCTAGCACATGATATGACCAAATGGGCTGTGCTTCAAGTCTCAACTCTGAGGTTCAAGTTGCTGTTATTTTAAAGAGCAAGAGACAAAGAGTGAGAGAAACCTGTCATTTTATTGTCATCTTATAATTAGGCTTTCAACATCTGCTCAGTTTAAGACTGAGATCTAGTTCAAAGTCTCCTGCTTTAAATTTCCTGGATCCTATTTCTTCAAGCACAGACTTGATCATTTGAAACATGGAACCATTCAGAATGGTAAGATGCTGAATGGCTGCCCAGATTCCTTGCAAACCTTGCACTTCATGACTTAGGGTGAATGAAAAGCCTTCTTTGTGGTTGTCCTAAAGGCTGTCACTGCCAATCTTAGTGGTAAAGTGGGTGACTCCCTTTGTTGGCCCTTAAGGTCATTTTCAGAAACTGGGCAAAACTTCCTGTCATACATACCTCAAAATACCAGACACTTGGTCTGCCTTCTTGGGGTGAAACACATTCACAATTTGGGCAAAGCTTTTAATTCTACAGTTTTAGATGTCATTAGTTTAAATAGAAGAGAGAAATTGTTTATTGGAGGAAGTCATGGGCCTATTTATTGTCTTCTGGAAAGTTTTGGTATTTATCACAGACTAGTTTACTCTGAATCTGACTGACTTTATTCCCCCAGAGTCTTCCAGCCACATCCCTGGTCACCAGATGAGAGCATGGATGCCCACTTATCCTGTCCTCTGATACCAACACACTTGTAGAACAGGCCCTTGGGACAGTCAGTCAGATCCATCTTCATTGCATAGAAAGGCAGGGATATTATTATTGACAATATGTTCATTGAGTGGACATTGCCTAGCATGGATTTGAATATACAACTCATTAGAAAAATGATTTAAAGAATTAGCAAAGAGGAAATCAGCTAAAGTATCTTTAAACTATTAAAACGAAATCATTACAGATTAATCTTCATTTTTATTTCACCCATTTTTTAATTCATTTAGCAACCTTTAACAGTTTGTACCTCTTCTCTGCCTTTTTCAAAGAATCAAAGCTTCAAAAAAGCCTTTCAGCTTTAACAATCTTTT